TTGCCGTTCTTTTGCCGCTAATTAGTTGTGGAAACCAAAAATTTGCCGCTTCTTTTTTTTACAAAAAAATCAAGTTTGAAAAAAAAATCATGTGTTTCGCTAACTTGACGTCAAGTTAGCGAGACAATCAGGCCTATGATGTATCTGGTCCTGTTATTTTAACGACTGCGTTATGGCTCAACATCTATTGTTGTCTCTATTTTGACGTATAGAATAAACAGTGACAGATAACTTAACGTTGCTGTTAAAATAACAGAGAATGATACATCATAGGCCTGAATATCACTAAAAATGTCGGTAGTGATAAAGTTGAGTGAATGGAAATTTGCCGTTTTCTGCCGCTAATTAGATGTGAAAACTAAAAGTTTGCCGCTACCTTTCTTTTCATAAGAAAATCGTGTTCGAAAATAAAATAATGTTTTGCTAATTTAACGTAAAGTTAGCGAGATCACTAAAAATGTCGGTAGTGATAAATTGAGTGAGTGGAAAATATCGCGTTTGAAAAAAATATCATGTGTTTCGCTAAGTTGACATCAAGTGAGCAAAACAGTATCATTAAAAATGTCGGTAGAGGAAAATTGAGTGGTAGAGAAAAACTGTGGAAATTTGCCGCTAATTAAATGTGAAAACCCAAAAATTTGCCGCTCTTTTTCTCCATGAAAAAATCGTGTTTGAAAAAAACTTGTGTTTCGCAAGCTTGCCGTTAAGTTAGACCGACATCATCACAAAAAAGCGAAGGGCAATATAAAATTAGGTGAGTAAAAGGGTTTTCCGTTATAAATGATCTCTAATCCTTAATTTTTATGCACCCTGTATATTTTAATTAGTGAAACTCAAAATTTTTTTGGAACAAATATTTATTTCTAAATTTTTTGAGAATAGTTTTTGAGTTTTTTTTTCTTTAGCTTAGGAAAACTCTATTGGAGGCCTTATAGGTTTCAAAACTCAAAAAGCGAAATATCGTGTGCTCATACAGAAAATAAAATAAAATTAGAAATAAAATTAAATTGGGATAAAATGGAAGTTATCAATAATTTTTGGCAAATTTTCTCGAATGCATTTTTAGTTGAAAAAAAGCACGAGGGACGAGTGCCTTTTCCAGTTAAAAATGCATGAGAGCAAATTTCTCAAAAATTATAGATATATTTCCATTGCTCGAGTTGTATTTTATGGGAGAATTTCATGAATCAAAAATTTAAATTTTTAGTATATCCTCGTATAAAATGTCACCAATCAGAAGACAGTCAAATGCCACCCGTTAGTGAGCAATTATCCAATCCGATAATCCTGTACTAAGTACAAATTATCACGTAATCGCAATCTGATTGGTTGAAATCAACAATTAAATTATGCCAGTTTATGCATGGGGTCTCTGTCATTTGCGCGACAACCGTTTGCGCGAGGGAGAAAAGCGTGATACGAAAAGCGCGAGAGACAAAAACGCGACTGGATAGAAGCGCGAGGAACAAAAGCGCGAGGGACAAAAGCGCACGACTGCACAAAAACGTGACTAGATTAAAGCGCTAGAAACAAAAGCGCGAGGGGACAAAAGCGCGACGGAACAAAAACGCGACTGGATAAAGCGCGATTGGCCAAGAACGCGAAGTGCCTTATTACTATCTACGAGAACTGAAGATCGTTTTCCAAAATACAAGATATTTTCGGTGGCTCCGGTTCAAAAGAATGATATTTAAAATAGCAACATCAAAAAGGCGACATATTATTAAAGCGATATATCAAAATAGCGACATTTGGAACAGCGATATTCAAAATAGCGACATCTAAAAAAAACAGCAACATATCAAAAGAGGCACATATGTAAAGAACGAGATTTAGAACAGTGGCAAATTAAAAGAGCGACATTTACAACGACGACCTCTAAGCAAAAGAGGGAAACATCAAATTGTTCCAATATTAATCAAAATTATGTGGACTTACTCAAACTAACCCAAACTAACCCGTCCGTCTAGGGCAATCTCGTCCTCGTGAGTTAGCATTTTATTTAAAAAGCACTGCGCTCTCAAAAGACCCTGAGCAATCAGTGAATTAACTTTGTTTTTTTGAATAAAATGCTTACGAGGACTAGATCGTACTAGGTGGACGGGTTTGTATTGCGACATCAATTTGAAACAATAATAATAAAGAAAATACAGACTTGCTCAAAATAACCCAAAATAACCCGTCCGCCTAGTGCGATTTAGTACTCGTAAGTTAGCATTTCATCCAAAAAAACAGCCAATTTATTTATAGCGCGCCTTGTTTTTCAAATAAAATTCTATTGAACGAAGACTAGATCGCACTAGGCGAACGGGTTAGTATGGGTTAATTTGAGTAAGTCTGCATTTTTCTGATTATTATTGATACAATTTGATGTGTCCCACTTTTGCTTAGAGTCCTCGTAGATAGTTGGATACCTCGCGTTGTTGTCCACTCGTGCTTTATGCCAGACGCGTTTTTGTTCCGTCGCGCTTTTGTCCCTCGCGTTTTTGTTTCTCGCGCTTTTCTCGCTCGCGCCTTTGTTTCTCGCGCTTTTATGCAGTCGCGTTTTTGTTCCGTCGCGCTTTTGTCCCTCGCGCTTTTAGTATCGCGCTTTTCTCCCTCGCGCAAACGACTGTCGCGCAAATGACCAGTTTTGACAGATGAATGAAATTTTCTATCGACATTTTTATTGATACTGTTTTGCTAACTTGATGTCAAGTTAGCGAAATACATGATTTTTTTTTCAAACGCGATATTTTCTTGTAGAAAAAGAGCTAATTAGCGGCAAATTTTGACTCTCTCAATTTATTACTGCCGACATTTTTAGCAGTAATGCCAACTCGTGGGAAATTTCCCGATTCGTGGGAAATTAGTAACACTAAAGGGAAAAGGGAAAATTCCACCAAAATTGCGATATTCGTGGGATATTTCATAACAATTAGCGCATATAAGGACGCAAGACGTTCGCGGACCGATCGCATAGCGATCGCGAACCGAACTGTGCAAGTTTCGAATGCGCTCAACAATGATTCTTCGAATGTATGCGTTTCCACGTTGCCGTTCGCGAGCGCACCCTGTCGCCGCAGCACAGGGTGACTGTAAGCGAGTTCGGTTAATCCTCCGCGAGCTGAAAAATGACATGTAATCTTCGATTTGAAGTTTCAAAGCTTATCACGTGGCCCTGTCATCCGTTTGCTCGTTGAGGATTACCCAAACTCCACTTGTGATTCACTTCAGAATGAATCGAATCGAGCATTGAGATAGTCGAGTTTGAGAGTTTGAGTCCGGGGATTTACTGAAAAATAAATATGAATATTGATGGAATTCGCAACTGACAAATGATACCACGTTGAACCAAAAAAGTTCGAACCCCATTCTAGCTTAGTTCTAGAATCTAGCAGGCGGTACAAATGAAAACTACAAGGAATGACTTGTTAATCTTTGATTTAATTTCTTTTAAAATCTAATCTATCTACTAAAGATTTGCATTATTACGTTTTGTCAGTTATTTGTGCATTTGTGGGAATTTTTTCTCAAAAAGGGAATTTTTGGACTCCCTTGTGGGAAATTTGATTTTCGAAAGTTGGCAACACTGATTTTTAGTGATCTCGCTAACTTTACGTTAAATTAGCAAAACACTATTTTATTTTCGAACACGATTTTCTAATGAAAAGAAAGGTAGCGGCAAATTTTTAGTTTTCACATCTAATTAGCGGCAAAAAAACGGCAAATTTCCATTCACTCAACTTATCACTACCGACATTTTTAGTGATATTGTCTCGCTAACTTGACGTCAAGTTAGCGAAACAAATGATTTTTTTTTCAACCTTGATTTTTTATGAAAAAAAAAAACCGGCAAATTTTTGATTTTCACAACTAATTAGCGGCAAAAAACGGCAAATTTTCACGTAGGTACCTAGTTTTTTAGTGCTGACATATTTAGTGATGTTGTCTCGCTATCTTGACGTCAAGCTAGCAAAACACGTAATTAAGAAAAAACCAAAAGAGCGGCAAATTTTTTAATTCCACATTTAATTAGCGGCAAAAAAGCGGCAAATTCTTGGCATAATGGAAAATCGATTTTTCGAAGTTTTCTCGCTAAGTTGATAGACATCCTACTAATGGTACCTGTACCTACTAATGTAGCTATCTTATGATTTAGATTATTGTAAACTTTCATAACTCTTTTTCTATTAGAGATAGAAAGCTGAAATTTTCAGCGAGTCTTATGATATTAGAGGACTACAATCCATGAAAATTTTAAATCATTTGGACCCATGGTTTCAGAAATAAAATCGCGTTAAGCAATTTGGGGTGATTTATCAATAATTTCATTTTTCAAAGTGCCTTTTTTTATAGAATCCAGCTCCAAATCTCAGAATAATTTAGTTTATGGGGTTTAGGGGGTACTTAATAATCATTTTGACACAAAATCTCAACATAACAAAATTTGAAACTTCATCATTTTAGTACCTACCAATGGTACCTACGTACCTACTAAGGTAGCTACCTTATGGCTGTGCTTATGATTCATAACTTTTTTTTTATCATAGATAGAAAGCTGAAATTTTCAGCGATTCTCATCCCAGCAGAGAAGTACAATGCCTGAAAATTTCAGCTCATTTGGACTTATAGTTCCTGAGATAAAATCGTGTTAAGCAATTTGGGGTGATTAATCAATTTTAAAATTTTTCTTACTGCCTTTTTTCATAGAATCGGGCTCCAAAGCACAAAATAATTTAATGTATGGAGTTTGGGGGAGTCTCAAATGATCATTTAGATACAAGATTTCAACATTAAAAAAATTAAAATTCCATCATTTTAGTACTAAAGTAGCTAGCTACTTTATGATTTAGATTTATGTAAACTTTAAAAAATCCGAGAAAAAATCATAACTTTTTTTCTATTATAGATAGAAAGCTGAAATTTTCAGTGACTCTTATCCCAGTAGAGGACTATAGTTTCTGAAAATGTCAGCTCATTTGGACTTATAGTTCCAGAAATTCCAAAAAACTAATTACCTTCTGGATTTAGTGCTCTCATATTTCTGGTTTTGTCCGCATTAAACGGTCTGACTTGAATCTGATGTTCCAATACAGCAGCAGGATAACGCTCGTAAAACATTTCGTTGACTGTCATATCAAAAGTTGGAATGACTTCCTGGGGATAACAAACCAACTGCCTGTACAAGTCCTCATCAAATCTTTCAATGTGAGAGCAGTTTACATTCAGAAAAGGCTCTTCAAGAGTATGAATCTAAACACAAAAAGAAATATATACTAGTCAAATTGAATTAAGGACCATTTTTAAAAACAACTTTGTTTTAATTAAATTTTGAATAACCCTAGTACAGTGTTTATTTCCATTTACAATATACATTTTTTTGGTGCAAACATTTGTGTATCTATATTAGGCCTGTTTCTGCAGAAATCTCAAACCAGTCAGAGAGAATTTCATTGGTTGAAATCAGTCAGAAAACTAGTTTCAACCAATGAAATTCACTCAGACTGGTTTGTGATTTCTGCAGAAACAAACCTTATATTTGTAAATAAGAATATGTAAACCCTTTACCAAGGTTATTCAAAATTTAATAAAAAGAGTTTTCAATCAATTTAAAATTGTATTAAGCAGTATTTACCTCTTCAATTTTTTGAAGATATAAAGGCTCATTTAAGTTCATATCATCAGTCCTCTCATCTTCTTCAGCATTAACATCAATAAATCTCAAAATAAATTGTTTGAATTTTTCTTTGCAATTAGCCACAGACACGTCAGTGCCCCAAATAACCAAATGAGGAGCGCTAGAATCGGTGGTTTCAGCAGCATTGTCTTCAAGAATTGTTTCTAACTAAAATCACACTTTTATAAGTAAAACAATTTTTACAAGAAACACAATAAATCTCACTGGTGTTTCTCTGCCAACATTAACTTGTCGAATCCTCTTGTCAGACCTTACATCTGGCCTCATTCGAATAGGGGTGCCCCTTATACCAGAAGATCTAGGGGTTCTAATTGAACCCATGGAACTTGGCGTACCATAATTTAAAGGCGAACTCAAATCGATTTCACTCATTGCTAGACCTGTAGTAAGTAAAAATGAGTTAGAAATCAATATAAATAAATAATTAGGTATTACCTGTTGCAGGGCTCATGGGTACCATAGTCATAGCGGGCGATGGGGCGATTTCTTGATCCGGAGCCCTTGGGGTTTTCGTCGGGGTTTCCGGGATTTCATCGAGAAGGGGACTTTGGAAGGGGCGTTTCGGCGTGCGGCCCCCTTAATAAATAATTGCATTAATAAATCATTGAAATGATAAATAAAAATAATTGGTACCTGCTCTTCTCGGAGAACCATTACTAGTGGCCGGACTTGGCGGCACCGATCTGGGTGCTGGAGACGGCATTTTATTAATTGAAATGAGTCGTGGTTTCAAAAATTTAAATTAAAGCCAAAAAGTTTTATTCCTAGCAAGAAATGGGATAACAACAAGAAAAAAAAGCGCGGGAAGTGGTTGAGATTTGACAGTTTTTGAAAGGAGTGTGTTCGATAACTCAGTTCAGGGTCGAGTTCAGAAATAACGCACAGAGTGCGAGTGCGATTTTATGGGTGTGCCTGGGCCTGAATTGACAATTGGCCATTGGGCACATAGCACCGTCTAGCATAAGTTGTATTCCTTTCACACCTAGGAGAAGCTCCGGAACAGCTCCGGGGCTTCACGCACTTATTCCTTTCGAAAAGTTTTTGTTGCACCACGCATATGTTCCCTGCAAATCAGGGGCGACTAAGCACCGAAGCGAGTATCTCGAGTGTTTCAAGCTCTTGAAAGGAATACAACTATTTTTGAACAGCTAGGGCGTCGCACCGGTGTCACACTCACACTGGGTGTGTCATTCCTGAACTCGCCCCACAGGTCATTAATTATTCGCCTCCATTTTGAAGGTTCAGTGCAAAAATTCTTGTTCGGGCTGGTTCAGATTAAGAGTTAATAATATTTCAGAGCGAAGGCAGAGGTAGCGTTCCTCAGGACGTAACATGGCATGTAATATTGACAGTTGAGTTGAAGAGGGCGCTTCTGTACTTGGAGCTTTTTAAATTTTGGCACGTAAATAATCGATTGTGATTTTAAACTCATAAGTTAAGTTTGATGTGTGGTTTTAAGACAAGCTGACGCTGACACTTTAAAAAATATTCTCTAAGGGCCACTGAACGCTTTGGAAGATATTTTAACATCTTCATTGTCCATTGTTCATATGTATTCATCTTTCCTTCTTCTAATTTTAAACAATTTATAACTATTGACATTTCCCGCCAAAATTTAAAACACTCCAAGTTCACTCGCGCCCTCTACAAAATTTTAGGGAACTTAACTGGATATTTGCTGTCATTATATAGTCCAACCAACCTACGGAGTGACAAGCAACAAAACCTACAAAAAAGTTCGTTACTATAATGGTCGTGTATTGGCCCGCTCTACACTGTAGAGTGATGTTTTGTATGATTTTGAAATAAATAAATGGTATAAATCAGTGTTCAGTGTAAACCTGGTCGCCATTTTGACTTTGTACGTCATACTCCGTAGGTTCGTTGGACAAAGTTTAGTTGTATTCTTTTCAAGAGTTTAAAACACTCGAGCCACTTGCTCTGGTGCTAGTCGTACCTGATTTACACTTGGCCAAACATAAAACTGGTACAGGCAATCTTAGCAGGCAATATATATTTTATAAATTTGCCTAGTGTGAGTCAGGCTTAACAACAAAAAGTATCTATTTTTTTTTTACTGAAAAACTTAGGTCATTCGGCGGTGGATCCGTCGGTAATCTTTGTCTAGTTCATAGAAGATCGGAATGGCTGTCTCATAATGCTGGTAGCAGATGGATTCATTGCTGAATAAAAGAATGCGCCCAGGGTCTTTACTCTTGAAACCGGAAAACAGCGTTCTCATGAGAACGAAGGTTCTGTTTGTGTTAGTGTTATGGAAATATAATGTGAGCGACAAAGACAGAACCTTCGTTCTCATGAGAACGATGCTCCCCTGTTTAGAGAATAACACCCCAGGTAAATGCAACATGTTTTTATGTTTCGATTGGTTTGAATATGATCCCCACTTGACTCTTTTTGTCATTGTCATAACCTGGGTTCGGCTTGCACACTCCGTGCACTCCGAGTGACTCCGTTCGCACTCCAGCCGTTCGAGTATTGCCTCTTAACGAATCAGACAACGGCTGGAGTACGACAGAGTCACTCGGAGTGCACGCAGTGTGCATACCGAACCCAGCTATAGAGTAAGTCATTGTTGAGGTGATAAAAAAAGGTCGATTTACACATTACTACACAATAGGAAAATACCTACCAGTTTTATGATTAGCAAATTGTACAAGGAACAAATGCTTGGTGCAACAAACACTTTTCGAAAGGAATAAGCGCGTAACGCCCTGGAGCTGTTCCGGAGCTCCTCCTAGGTGTGAAAGGAATACAAGATCCAGTCCGCATCGCTATACTGCTGCCGGATTCTATTTTACGAGTTGAGTCGTAATTCGTATCGAATTGTCAAAATAGCGATTCTATTTTACGATTCAATACGTACGGTACGTCCGGAGCTGTAGTATTCTATATCGAGACAATCCGACTCGATTCGTAAAATAGAATCCGGGGGCTGCTGTATTTCTTCCCGTTGAATTACTCGGAGCGACTGAATGTCAAAAGCTTGAACCTTCCTTTTTAAAAGTGTGTTAATCACTCGAGTCGCTCATAGTCATCTTCCTTTCCCCTGATGCACCAAATTTGCGAGGGGTGCAAGATGCTCTTTTAGATAAAACATGGTTGTGTTTAGAAATAAAATAGCACTCTGGGTGTGAGAGTGACCCTAGAGTAACTATAAACCGTTCATAAATTAACAGGTGCTTACTCGGAGTGTTACGCTGACGCTGGAATCGTTCAAAAATCGAGAGTTGACGTACCCAGAGTGCGCCCAAATTATCCTACTCAGGAACTGGAAACGCCCCGTGTTTTTTTACCGGGTTTGAACTGATTTTAAGGTTATTTTCATTATGATGATGGAGTCCTCTGTAATTATTCAACATACAAAAGATTAGTCATTTCACTATCTGAAGCAGTTTCTTCAGATGAAGGATGTTCCAGCAGAACCTCTTTTAATAAGAACATAATACATGCACTACTCATTGCCATTTTTAAAATTGTAGTGTTGAACTTGCGTCGTAATTCATGACGACTATAGTTCTCGGACACGAAGACACAAAAATCCTCTAATCCCTTATTTTGTTTACATTTTGACAGCTGAATTGGGTGATTTAACCTAACTTTTTTCGCTTGTTTGCCAACTTTTATTCATCCTGAAGATTCCTGAGTTTTATTAATTTTCCCTTGGTGTTTTCCATGTAGGAATTATTAGAAGTTGCTGTTCTTGCAGACGTGAATGGAGCGTAAACTAATTTTGATATAGCATAGCGTTACGGTAAGGCATCCGCTAACTCCCGTTAGGTAGCGGACTCCACAACGCTAATTCGTCATATTAGTTAGGTTAGAATCGCAAATTGGCGCGGGTTCCTAGTTCAAAAATTAATACATTAATGTCTTATGGGGACTCAATTTTAAAAGCGTCTGTAGACGTGATAGAACGTTTGTTACGGAATTGAGTTGTATAAATAGTTTTTTTAATATGTTAATTAACTGAGAGAGTGTTTGAAAGTTGAATAAACATTGTTAAAATAAAAATATTACCAATTTAAGAAGCCGATATTTGTATAAAATACGTATGTCGTTGCTTGATCCATAAGTATGTATGAGTACCTAATTATAATAAAATAAAAGTTTACCTACATACTTGGTTAGTAAATGTACTTCAATAATCCAAAAAAATTGAATAATAAATGACTGAACTAGTGATAAATAAATAAATAAACAATTCACCAACAATCATAACACAACACACAACCTCACTTTCTCTCAGCTGGTTTTAGACCCGACGTACGTCCACCGAAAACAGACACTTTTAATTAAAATCATTTGTATTTTTAATTCATAGGTCTAAAAAAACAATTAGAGCATGAATTATAGAGAAATATGTTCAAAGTTTGATGTACAATAGGTTCCAATACTAAGAAATGCCCAGAACCCAAGATATTCCCGTCTGAAAATCACTCTTTTGAATCCCCCATAAGAAATACATTGCTGTCAAATTTGTTGAAATGTGTTTAGGAACCCATTTTAAATTTCGCGCCCGATTTTTCCTAACCTAACTAATATGGTCAATACCACAGCCATACCGTAAGAATTGTCATTCTTGTCAAATAACGTTACGGTATTTGAAATTTGGACAGCACGAGAACTCTCTATTAACCGCAACGCCCCAATACGTTCAGAAATAGTGCACCCAGAGTTGCTTTCCAGTGCCCAAATTGTTAGGGTATCATGCTCCTGGAGTGTGACGTTCTTGAACTGTTCGACATAAGCAGCACTGGAACGCTATCGTCTTAACTCCCACCATTTCGGACTTCAGAGCATGGAACACCGAAATAAAGTTTGGTGCACGAGGGGGCAGGGGATAACAGAAATGAGTAATTCAATTGTACGACACTTTAGCACTGGAACAAGCAAAGTAATTGTGGAGCACTCCTCAGCTGCTCAGGAGTAACTCAAATGGGTCACTGGAAAGCACCTCAGAGGGCACTCCAAGTGATGATGTCAGAACACTCTGACAAAGAACTACTCTACCTTCATACTCCATTTCTAAACGCGCTCCAGATGGAATGCTAAAGTAATTTAAATCGAGCAAATGGAACAGAAGTAAAACAGTCTACACCATTTCCAAATCCAAGTGGCAGTAAATGACATTATATAAATAACCTAAATTGTAAACAAATACCAGCCTTCTTATTGGTTGAAATGCCCTACCTGGACTAGTGCCCATGCACAAAGGACATTTGATAGGTTGTAATGAAAATGACCAGTTATGTCATTTAATTACTGCCGCTTGGATTTAGTTCAACCATTGGTAGTTCGAACAGTTGAACAGATTAAAAATAGTCAGTGCACTTGGAACAGTCAGAGTGGAAATATTAAAAAGCCGAAACTAATTTTCAAATCGGCCTATTGAAATTACATTCGGTTATTTACGCGCCACAATTTAAAAAGCTCCAAGTACAGAAGCGCCCTGTACAACTCAACTTTGAAAATTGCATGCCACTAGAATCGATTCTGAACTAGTTCTAGCAGTTTCAACAGGAACCAATCAGTTCGAAATGGTTCGGAGTGTGATCCGTCAACAAAATTATTTTGTTCTTGAACGTACTCTTACTAGATGTGTCATATGTCATATCGGGGGTTCCCTCTCTTATTTTTAAATTTTTTAAAAGTTAAAAAAAAAAATTAGTCTGCTGTCTGTGTCTGTTTGCTTTCATTTCTCCCACTAGCAAAAAACCAGTCGCAAATACATTAATTCAATGCTGATTAACAATTTGACCTTTTTAATGGGGTTCAACTAAGTGAAAGTAAACAATTTCTTTATGCACTCAATTATGTATCAAATTTCCAAAAAATAAGCTTTCTTATTATATAGATAATGGCATCTACTTCTTTAATAAGTTTTCTCATTGTCGTTGCAGCTTTAGTAATCGTCGATATTTTTTGTAAGTATTTTCCCATAAGCTTTGGTCAATTACTAAGGGTCGCTTTATTCACCTTCTGATAAAGGGTTCGGTAATGAAATCTTAGAGATAAAAACGCAATCTGTAATTTCATTGGTCGGCCAATTATCCGTCGACCAATAGAATTATTTTGCAGACTCGCTAGCAAGTCTGAAGATTAATTAATTTATGCAGTGTGTATATAAGTACCTATGAAATAAATTCAGTGTAAAATAAAAGAAGGCGTTTTTATACAGGGTGGTTCAAAAACAGGTGTACTTTTTTTTTAATGGTACCCCCTGTATATTATGTATGAAATTTCTTAGATTATTTTCCACAGAATCCAGAAATGTCATATTATACAGGGAGTATCATTTAGAAAAATAAAGCTGATAACGATATAGCCGAGAGGTTTTTCACCTAACAAAATTTGTTCACAGATTAACAGTACTAACTGAGATATTTCCATGTATTAACAGATATTTCTATGTACCTACCTAATAACAAGTTATTGCCAACTATTTCCAAATATTAACAAAATATTTCCACACATTGCCAGGTATTTCCCTAGTATTATCACATATTACCTATGCTATTGACAGACTAAAATCCAATATTTGTCTTGCCAGAATTGTAAGTATTGACATATCCACAGGTATTTACATGTTATCAATGGGTATCAACCAATGACATTAACATACATTGTCTAGATATCTACAAGTATTGACATATATTAACTACATAATTAACAAGTAGGTATTGCATAGTATTGACAAGTATTTATCTGGTATATTGGCATATATTAACCAGTGATTTGTACACCGATTAACAAGGTGAAAAACCCCTCGGGTATAGCTGTTCCCTCTACAAAAAAAAGGAGTTTGAAAGAATGTCAAACAAAATCAATGTGTCCTTAGTGTTTTTTCGAAAACAACCTCAGCGCAGGCCTGTTCTTACAGAGATTACAAAGCAATCAGAGCGAATTTCATTGGTTGAAAATAGTCAGAAAACTGTTTTTTGGTAATTTGCACCAATCACTGGTTTGTGACTTCTGTGAGAACGGACCTGTTTATTTCATACTTCATGTACACACTGTATAATATAATTAATTCACTTTTAAGGTCAAACAACCTTGATAAAATGCATTTATTTAAATTAACATTATCTAAGTACCAAGAATATTTTAACAATAATTAAATAATTTTCCTCTATCTTGATATCCGCAATAATCTACTCCAAAATGTAGAAGAAATCAATTTTAATTAGGTACCGACTTAAATGCCCGTGGCAATCAAAATGTGGAACCTTCAAATAATGCAAAAAGTACCACCAGTACAGAGTGGCCAGCCTTAAATCGAAGAAACCAAAGATTAAGAACAAGCACGGAACCCTCAAATAATGCAAAAAGTACCACTACAGAGTGGCCAGCTTTAAATCAAAGAAACCAGAGATTAAGAACGAGCACACAAAATCCAAAAAAATGGATACAGCAAAATAATATTTGGATTAGAAATGAACAAGCTTCGGTAGTTGACAATAATAGGCAACAAACTAGCACTAAACCTCCATTAAAAAGAGGAGACACTTATACAGTTATAAAGCCTCAAATACCAACTCCCTTAGGCCCAAAATCTCCTCAAAGTAACTCTCCTTCTGTAGGGCCAATACAAGAAACCAACACCAAGGATGAAGTAATAGTCAACAATTCCGATGTTACCGATGATGAATTAAGAGAATTTTCCGAAAACATTTTGAAAAAAGACAGTAATAATGCCATGAAATTTGTTACTTTGAATTTACAAGGGATGACCAGTTCTAGGTCTTCAAATGATGAAGCACCTTTACCGTGAGTTACTTCATTTATAAACAAGCAAAATTTTAATTTTTCTCAATTATTTTAGATTGCTAGAAATCAAAAAAGAAGCCTACAACATACCGTCAATAGAAAAACTAGTCTTGCTTCACAACAATTACTTTTTAGAAGCGAGTCAAAACGAAGTTTACACCGGCCAAGAAAGAATCGAAGAAAACAATTTACTCGATACAATTTTAGCTACCCCTGTAATGCAATTTGCCAGGAGTTTTTTGGTGCAAAAAGGCAAAATAGGCAAAGACCCTAAAGAATTCAGGGACTTGTTACGTTTAATTTGGTTCAACATGTACTCCCGAGGACAAGGCAGAATTGGTTCAAGTGGATTCGAGCACGTATTTGTTGCAGAAATTAAAAACAGCCAAGTGTCTGGTTTACACAATTGGATCTACTTTAAAGAGGAAGAACAGGCAAAAAGGGCTAATTATTTGGGATATTTGAAGAAAATTGATTTAGGAGAAGTAAATTGTTATAATATGTATTTTTTTTTTTGATACCCAATTATTTTTTTAGAAAGGAGCCATCTTGAAGTACCACTTTACCTTTCACGACATTGACAAACCAGTTGGTTCCATGTTTATAGGCACCAGTCCGGAATTGGAAATTGCCTTGTACTCTACTTGCTTTATTTTAAGAGCGGATAAAATTTGTCCCTTAAAAATGAACGGAAATAGATTTATTATTCGAACGTATACTTACAAATATAGAGGCAAAAATATGATTGGAAGTGCCTTTCCTGAAATTTAAATCAATAATTTTACATTAATTAATTTGATAATAATACTGTTTTAAACAAATTTGTATTCAATTTTAGATAATAAACTATTAAATGAATATATTGTTATAAAAAAATAAGTAACTTGAATCCAAGTTATAATGAAGACAAAATAAGAAATAATTAACTTGGATTTAAACAATTAATAACTAAATTAAACATTGAACCTTTCAGGATCTTCAAGCCTAAAAACAGAAAAAAAAAATTACATTCAGCAACTACTGAAAAATCGTATTTCTTACCTCAATAATGTGACATTTTGGGTAATGAACGAAACATCTTGAGGCGTCAAAAAGACAAATTGCAATTCGGGCTTTGAGTTTGCATGTTCCAACAAAATCTCAATAACTTTAGAACGATTTAATTTGTCCTAAAATATAAATTAATTAAATCTCTTCTAATTTACTAATGATAATTTTACCATATAAACGTCAAACTCATCCAAAATATAAAAAGGAAAATCCATACATTGCCACAAAGAATACAAAAACGCCACAGTAGAAAAAGACCGTTCTCCTCCGGATAAATTCGAGGTTGTAGTTAAACCTTGGGAGCCATGTTGAGGCATGACAATCAACTCCAGCTTTTTATGTTCCATGTCTATTTCTATGGTTCCAGTGAATTGTCTGATTCCCAAAATTCTTTCGAAGCAATGTTTTACGAAATGGATAAAATGAGATTCGGTTGATTTGTAGTACTTTTTGCGCATCTCAAGAGATTGAGTGAGTTCATTTAAGGTAACACCCAATTGTTTCATAGTTCCTTTTACTGAATCGTGTTTTTCATTTAATTTGTCACGTTTTGCTAAAATATTTGTAATATCTTCAGCTTTTGTTTGTAGACGAGATATTTTTTCTGTTACTGCTTGCTTTTCTCTAGTGACGTCAGCTAAAGTCCTAAAAATAAATTGTTAATAATAGTTATGTATGTATGTGAATTTTTGCCTGATTTTTGTTGGTCTTTCTGCAAGGCTCGAGGCCTCAGCTATTTTTTCTTCCACAAAAGCTTTTTTTCCATCAATCGCTTCTCTTGCCGTTTCGACTCTCCTTTGCAATTCTTCCATTCTCTTATTGTCAGAAACGTCCAATACTCGTCTGCGTGATTTTTTCTCGTTGGCTTGTTCGTACAATGTTGACAATCGGTCTTCCAGTGCTTTCATGGATTTTTGTATTTGGGTCATTTTACTTTTTTGAGAGGAAAATTTGGTTTTTAGCTCGCGAGTTTCTTCTTCTATCTGGCCCAGTAAAGCTTGTTTTTGGTTAAGGACTTCTTTCATTTCTCTCATTTCATTTTCCTTGAAAAAAAAATATGTTGAAACTAAATTAAAATCTTAATTAATAGGATTGTAGAGAATTTAATTGGCTTTAATTAGGGCTTAATTACGCTGGAATCAGATAAAAATTAACTAAGCCGTGAAATAAAAACTGTTTCAGTGACATTTTTGGAATGTTAATTCAATTCTGAAGCTTCTGGCTTTAATTGGAGTTTAATTACGTTGGGATTAGATAAAAATTAAAGGAGGTATGAGGCGAAAACTGTCTCAATTTCATGTGTGGAAAATTTTCAATGTTCGATTTTCCTGGAAATCTAGTAGAGGGAAAAATTTGAAACTTTGTGCATGTGAAGAGGAAAGTTAGAGGCTCATTTTTTCAAAATTTCAAATTTTTCCAGTGGAAAATAACAACATGAAGGATCTTGGAAATGAACCTACAATAACTGAAATAATTGAAAATACAATCTCACATATTTCAAAAATTTCCTGTAAACTATTAAAGGGAAAAATTTGAAACTTTTCGTATGTGAAGAGGATGGCTCGATGCTCATTTTCCCAAAATTTCAAATTTTCCAGTGGGAAATAACAACATGAAGAATCTTGGAAATCAACCTACAATAACTGAATTAATTGAAAATACAGTCTCACACATTTCAAAATTTTCCTGGAAATCTAGTAAAGGGAAAAATTTGAAACTTTGTGCATATGAAGAGGAAGGTTAGTTTGGGTATTATCCCCAAAATTTCAATTTTTTCCAGTGGAAAATAACAACATGAAGAATCTTGGAAATCAACCTACAATAACTGAATAACTTGAAAATACAGTCTCACACATTTCAAAATTTTCCTGGAAATCTAGTAAAGGGAAAATTTTGAAACTTTATGCATATGAAGAGGAAGGTTAGAGGCTTATTTTTCCAAAATTTCAAATTTCCCAGTGAGAAATAACAACATGAAGAATCTTGGAAATCAACCTACAATAACTGAATTAATTGAAAATACAGTCCCACACATTTCAAAATTTTCCCGGAAATCTATTAAAGGGAAAATTTTGAAACTTAGTGCATGTGAAGCGGAAAGTTAAAGGCTCATTTTTTCAAAATTTCAAATTTTTCTAGTGGAAAATAACAACAAGAAGAATCTTGGAAATAAACCTACAATAACTGAATTAATTGAAAATACAGTCTCACACATTTCAAAATTTTCCTGGAAATCTAGTACAGGGAAAAATTTGAAACTTTGCGCATATGAAGAGGAAAGTTAGAGGCTTATTTTCCCAAAATTTAAAATTTTTCCAGTGGAAAATAACAACATGAAGAATCTTGGAATTCAACCTACAATAACTAAATTAATTGAAAATACAGTCTCACACATTTCAAAATTTTCCTAGAAATCTAGTAAAGGGAAAAATTTAAAACTTTGTGTATATGAAGAGGAAGGTTAGAGGCTTATTTTCCCAAAATTTCAAATTTTTCCAGTGGAAAATAACAAGATGAAGAATCTTGGAAATCAACCTACAATAACTGAATTAATTGAAAATACAGTCTCACACATTTCAAAGTTTTCCTGAAAAACTATTAAAGGAAATAATTTGAAACTTTTCGTATGTGAAGAGGATGGTTAGAGGCTTATTTTCCTAAAATTTTAAATTTTTCTAGTGGAAAATAACAACATGATCTCTACAGACTTACACATTTCAAAGTTTTCCTGGAAAACTAGTAAAGGGAAAATTTTGAAACTTTTTACATGTGAAGGGAAAGGTTAGAGGATCATTTTCTCAAAATTCAAAATAACAACATGTAAAATCTTGGAAATCAACCTACAATAACTGAATTATGTATACCCTTTTGTTCAGTTAAGTAAACACAAAAACCCTATAAAAACCCAAAAACCCAATGGAAATTTTCAAAAACCTAGGCCTTTATCCGAAATCTGATTATTCGTCCGAAACAAATCCAAGATGTAACAAAGACAAAAGAAGATATTACCAAGAAGATTAATCCTTCTGAGTTGAACATTGGCATAAGAGGTATGAGAGCGACAGGAAATGGAAACATTGTCATTAAATGCCCCATCAAACAGGAAGTTGAGGATTTGAAAAGGGCAGCTGAAAGCGTATTACAAAATAAATACGAAATAATTACAACAACGATGATGAGACCAAAAATTAAAATTCCGGGATATGAAGGCAATGAACCTAAACAACAAATTGAGCAGATTATAAGAAATCAAAATGAATGTATTAACGACACAGATGAAATAAAGGTTACATTCGTGAAAAAGAGGAACATGGATTCAACTAATAAATAAAACAACGAAACGCATATCCTGGTTAGCTTTGAGAGTGAAAATACAAGAAATATAGTAATGGAGGCAAGGAAAAAAAAGGGCACAATAACAGTGAAGGAATGCAATATTGGAGACTCTGAGAGGAAGATATTTGTGAATGAGGATTTGCCGAGGGATACAAGGCAGCTGTTCGACAACGCTCGCAAACTAAAAGACAAAGGTTACCAATTTGTGTGGTGTAAAAATGCAAAAGTTTTTGCACGTAGAGAAAATGGCTCAGAGGTTATATACATAAAAGATATTTCCCAAATTCAGAGGTTGGGGGGGGGACCCAAACTAGTGAGTAAAATATAATGCATACTCGAATGGATATTTCTGAATTTAACAATTTAGAAGCATACAATAATGCCCTTAGAATAGATACGTGCAATGATAATTTGAACATTCTTTATTTAAATGCAAGATCTCTGAAAAATAAACTTGAGGAAGTGGAAATTATTCTTAAAAAACTTCAGTGTAGAATACATATAATTGTTGTTACTGAGACCTGGCTAAAGCCAGGTGAAGAAAAATATTTTAACATAACAAAATACCAAGCCACTTATGTGAGCAGAGACAGACAGGGAGGTGGTGTGGCTGTGTTTGTTGAGGACTCTATTTCTTTTACAACAACGAGTCTACATAAATCGGATTTGTCCATAGTGACTATTAATATTGACAGATTCAAGGTAAACCTAACTGCTGTATACAAACCACCAAACTTTGAAACAAATGTTTTCCTTCGGGAGTTGGAGCACCTTTTTGACAGGGTTTCTGCCTCGAAAAGCATTATAATTGGCGATGTCAATATCGATCTATTGACTAACAGTAATGTAGTCAAAGCATATAAAGATATTTATGAAACTTTTGGATATGAAGCGTTGAATAGAGTGAGATTCACAAGAAGATCGAATAATCCATCTCTCATCGATCATATGTTGACAAACTATAATAATGGGAAGTTTAAACTTTCACTGATTGACCATTGCATCAGTGACCACAGATTACAAGTGCTTTCTATTCCTGGAAGTTCATACTGCAGACGGAAACCTGAGGTTAGGTACCAAGTATTCAGAAGGATGGACATCTTAGCTGCAAGGGAAAGTCTCAGGCAGATAATGGACAAACTGGACCATTATACGAATGCGGAGGTTCTCTATGATGATATGGAGAGAACTTTTATGGACAACAATCGAGTGATGGTCAAACAAAGGAAGAAGATTGAAGGCAAAGAGTACATCACGAACAAGGTTTTATTACTGGTAAAAAAAAGGGATTATTTCTATAAAAAAATGAAAAAAAATGTGGGCAATGAATATTATGAGGCTAAATATAAAATTTACAATGGGAAAGTAAAAAAACAAGTCAAGTGGGAGAAAAAGCAAATAATCACCAGGCAATTTGAAAGGGACATAGGAGATGAAAGGAAAACATGGAATACAGTAAATAGAGTACTTTATAACAAGGATAGTATTTTGAATGCAGTTCCCAAGCTGAAGGAAAATGAAAAAACCTTGACAGACAATCAAGACATAGCCAATGCCTTCAATAAATACTTTGTTAATATCGGACCTAGATTATCGAGGAACACTCATACTGCACCAATGCCGCAAGCGGAGGACCAGCCGGCCCGCTCTTTCTTCTTGACACCAGTGCTGGTAGCCGAAGTGGAAGGAATAATACAAGGGCTAAAAAAAAATAAAGCTGCAGGGATTGATGGAATCACTGTCGACAGTGTGTTTAAGCTCAAGCACGAATCGGCAGTGATTCTGACGAAAATTATGGACCTTTCATTCGAAGCTGGTGAGATGCCCAGCAAGTTGAAGATTGCCAGAGTCAGACCTTTGTTCAAAGATGGTGACAGAAGCGAAGTTTCAAATTATAGACCTGTATCAGTTTTGCCTGTGTTATCCAAGATTGTGGAGATATGTGTCAATCAAAGGTTGCAGGTATTTTTGAATAATAATAAATTGTTGAGTGGAAGTCAATATGGCTTTTGTAAGGACAGAGACACGGAGACAGCAGTTATAGATTTAATTTCAGATATACAGTTAAAAATAGATAGTGGTCAAGTATGCGCCTTAGTGTCTCTTGATTTACAAAAAGCCTTTGACACGGTAGACCATAACATACTGTTGGTAAAAATGGAGCAAGCTGGAGTAAGGGGCGTGCCTTTGCTTTGGTTTCGAAGCTATTTAGCGAATAGAAGGCAGATGGTAAGCATCAATGGTGTTGAAAGCTCTCTGCAGGATATTGAATGTGGGGTGCCTCAGGGGTCAGTGTTGGGGCCTACGTTGTTTTTGATATATGTGAACTCTATTTGTAAATTGAACTTGGGTGGCACAGTCAAATTGTATGCTGATGATACAACAATTGTGTATTGTGGGAAGGATACCAATTCTATTAAAGCGGGCATTGCTAGGGATCTGGGAGTAGTGAATGATTGGTTAAGGTCGCATAAATTAACGCTCAATATTAAAAAGTCATCGTATATGATATTAAGTAAAAGAAATTTAAACAATAATCACGACATAATGTTTGGAACTCAATCACTAAAGAATGCTTGCACAGTAAAATATTTGGGACTCATTATAGACAGTACATTGTCATGGGCAAATCACATAGAGCGAGTAAGGAAAAAAATTGCATCCTTCGTAGGAATCTTGTATAGAGTTGGATACCTCTTGAGGCTAG